CCCTCTCACTGAATCATTACGCCTGTCTTTTATATGTAGTGCAAAAATATTATAGTAAGACAAAGTAAATTTGCTATTAATTTGTTGGGGTAAAATCAAACCGCTCCACACAGTGCAAAATCATAATACTTCTGAGTAGGCAAACTGAGACTTGAGTCACAATGTTACCACTTTAACAGAGTCTACTTCCTCATTTGTAAAATGAATGTAGGGGTAATAACAATGAAGATACAGATAATAATGATGCCTCCTAGGGTTGTTTTAAATATTAAATAAGGGTTGTTCTAAATATTAAATAAGGTATCACATGTAAAGGATCCGCCTAAGTGCTGTGCTAAGAAGAGTGCCTAGCACAGAGGAGACATTTGATACGTACTTGTTGAATTAATTAAGGAATGGCTAACAAATGCTGAGGTCATGTCAAGTGTTCAGTAAGTGTCAGCTGTCCTTTCCTTCCCTCCCAAATGCCCTCAGTATTTTATAAGGCACTCAGCATTACTGTACAAATATAAAAACCATGACTTTTTAAGCTGCTAAATGCCAAGGAATCACACTACATGCAGGCTTTGCTCGGCCCCTCTGTGCTTGCAATGGTAGACAAGCAAAACTAACAGTTGCTTTCTAACACACTGATGCAATGCAGAGTTCCATCCCTGCCATATTTTTCTTGTAGGATTTCAAAACTGTGGAGGTGACCATCTAGTAATATTGAGTGATGTTTTCCACAAGCAAATCCATTTTGATAACTAGCCAACTTTCTAATATTGATGAGTTAAGACCCAATTTGTAAGTTGTTCCCTCTGAATCAACATGAAAAATGATGCAAACTTTAAATATTTTGAAAACATCAATATCCCTCTTATGGCAGCTCTTAAACTTCTATTTCTGTATCCACCTCTACTTTTGTTTTTGATTCTAAGGTGCCCTTGCTTGGGAGTTTCCTTTACTCATTTATAGACTGTGAGTTGCTGCTCTAAGCACTTAGGTCGCTGCATAAAAGTAGTGCTTTTGAAGTTCTCTTTGCAGACTGTGGCCTTGGCTGCAATGGTAATACTGAATTTGTCATTGAGGATACAGTCATTTTCCTTTTCAAAGGAGATTTTTAGCCTGGCTGACTTTGTGTGACCAAATAACCAGAGAAGCCAACCTCTTCCCTCTGGCAGATTCTATTGGAAAAAGGAAAGAGAGAGAGATGGAGACAGAGACACACAGAGAGACAGAGAGAGAGAGGGAAGGAAGGAGGAGAGAGAGAGGGAGAGAGAGAGAGAAGAAAAGAAAAAGAAGGAGGAGAAGGGGGAGGGGAAGGAGAAGAAGGAAGAAGGTAGGAAAGAGAATGAATAAAAAGGAACCCTCAGCTCCCTGGGTGGCACATTTAAGTACTAAAGGATAAGCTCTATTTTAAGTGCAATTCCTGCCTTTGGTTATGTGTATATATTTGATATAAAGTTTTAAATACACAACCTCAATTAGCCAAAACAACAGAGGTAAACTAGGACTGCCCCCCCCCAAAAAAAACAAGACAGGGGCGCCTGGGTGGCTCAGTCGTTAAGCGTCTGCCTTCGGCTCAGGTCATGATCCCAGGGTCCTGGGGTCGAGCCCCACATCGGGCTCCCTGCTCGGCGGAAAGCCTGCTTCTCCCTCTCCCACTCCCCCTGCTTGTGTTCCCTCTCTCGCTGTGTCTCTCTCTGTCAGATAAATAAATAAAATCTTAAAAAAAAAAAAAACAGGACATTATAGTTCCCCTAAAATATCAAGATTTGAATCCCAGGCCAAGATCCAGAGTCCACACTTGAGCCATTCTGGTAAATTGTGATTTTCCTCTATTGGCCTTCATTTGCCCATTGTGCTCATTCCTCCAGCATTCATACACACACCTTGGCTCTCTCGTCTTTTCCTTCTACATGCCTTCCATTCTTGTCCATGAAGCAACTGATGCATCAAATTAACTAACTCCAACTTTTGTACATGACAGAGCTGCCATTCTCCAGGACCTCAATTAGGGCTAAGTGCTAAAACCTCATGATTTTCCTCAGGAACAAGGGTAGAAGCTCCACCTTTGCTGCTTTGGTGAACCAAAAGCAAAACAAAAACAAACAAAACCCAGCCCATATGCTTTTAGACCCAACTGCAGGAATTCCTTATCCTTTCTGATGAGAAGGAATTTTATGCTGCATATCCAAATTCAAAATGAAAGTTTTAAAATTGCAAAATGAAAGTGCATCTGGTTTTGCTCCAAGGTTTATTGGTGATGAGTCACCTATTTTTATTGCATAAGAAATCAATCTAGTGTTGTAATGAAAACACGATACAGTGAATTTAGGATAATTCTTGGAGCATTCAAGATGTGCCTGTTTGTTCAGGGACACTGTGTTCTTTGAGGTTTCTTCTAAGCACTTTAATCTTCTGTAAGAAAGGCATTTTCTGTTTTTGAGGAAAGATGCTCTATTATCTAACCACCCACAATGCAGCAATTACTGCAGAAGCAGAGGGTGGAGATTGTGCACTTATGCTTTGCATTTGTGTTCCTTTGTCAGCACTGGACACATATTTGTATAAACTTGGCATACTTTAAAGCATTCATTTTAATCTTACCTCTTTGGTATTCACTTAACATCCGAGGTTCCCAGTTCCCTAAAGACTGCATTTAAGTTTTCCCTAAGTCTTTTGGACAGTTAAACCTGGTGAAGGAGGGAAGGGATTGAGGATTGAATTGGTCCAAGTGTCTGGTACAGGGACTGAAAGAAAGAGGAAATAAAAGACATCTTTAAATTATATTTGCTATATGGAAATAGGTTTTCTTGTTAATCATATCAGGGTCATGAAGAACCACAGTGTCATCCAAGGCATCATCCTGGATAGCTTTAAGGTAAAGATGTACAATTTTAAATAGTTCATATTTTAAAGGCCATGTATACTGATAATTTGAGGACTAGCATTGGACTCTCATCAGTCTATGAAGTCATATCCTTCTTGATAATGCATTTATTGAAAATATCATCTTACTTTAAGAACTACATTTCTACTAAAATCAATGAATAATTGTTTTTATGTCCTCCTTATGCTAAAGACTGCAATTCAAAGAACATTTTGCACAAATTAAATAGTGGTCCTAATTAATTTTTATATTTCTTTAATCTAGACGATGTTCAAAAGTACAATCTAATCTATATAGTCATCACTTAATAGATAATGTGCCTTTAATTGAAGAATGAATGCATTTCATCATGTGAGATACAAGCATGTATAATTATATCATTTTTGTATTTAAGAATATGGCATTAGACTAGAATTTATTCAGGATAAAGTGATAAGAGTTGGTATAGAATGTGCTTCCTTCATTTGTTATTTTTTCTTTTTGTTCATCTGATTTTTGTTTTCTATGCAAGGTGTATGGAAACAGATGAATTATTAGACTTCAGAGTCCAACAGTTTGTTTCTGGTTTATTTTCCTTTGTAACAGAAACCAATTGTGAGACAGAAAAACCTTCATTTCTTTTCATCAGTTTTTAGAGCAAAGGGGTGAAATAAATTTCCTCTAAATATCAAGAAAACCAAAGTTAGAATCAAGGGATTTGGAATCAGATGAACTTAGTTTTGCAGGTTGAATAAAGCTTAGGTGAACTGGGTTATTTATGGACAACAAAGACTATATTGTTTGGAAAATTAAAGAAACCAAAATAATTACAGCTGTTATCCAAAAACAGCATTTAACATCCATAATGAATTTATGTGTTACTCAGCACCCTCTTTCCTTCAACATTTAGTAACAAAATCCTTTTTTAAGCTTATTATGTCAAATTACAGGCCAAATGAAATTCCATCCTATGCTGATAATGGATGTCTATAATAGCCTGAAAGAGCTTTAGTAAAGTACAATAATACATAACCATTTCAATTTGGAACAAAGCCAGTGATGTAATATATTTATACAACTAATATTGTTAAATTCTTAATTTTCATTCTCTCGATTTAAATTACAAGTTTCTTCAGAGTGAAATCCACTTATGAGGGAGCTGAATGGTTTCTTACTTTAGCTTACTTTTGTAATAGCTTCTATAGTTTTCTTCATTATCATTCTATTTAAATCCTCCATGAGATACATAAAGCTTTAATGTAGAACAAGTATGGACCTATGTAAAAGTCACACAAATTACATTTCTTAATTGGAAATGTATATAATCAATAAGAACTTAAATATTTATCATTATAGTTTTATGACGTATGTGTGTGTGTGTAATTGTTACATATAATAAAAAATATATTCAGGCATTACCAACCATATCATTCATGAATTTTTTCAATGTATATTAAAGTACTTCTTGCAAGTAGAGACATGATTCTCCATTCAAAGTATACACTTATTACTTTCAATTGTAGGGGGATGTTTTAAAAGTTTTGGGTTATTGAACTACTTGATAAATCTTTCTGCATATTGTATCGGCTCTGTGGTTACGGCATTACAGGTGCTTTATTATTTGGATTGTGACAGTTCTGTCTCCAAGAGCAGTATGGCTTTGCCTTCCATGCCTCCATGGTACATCATTTAATCCATGAAAAATTTGTTCCAAAGATAACATTCAGACATAAATGCAGAAAATTTGTTCGAAAGACAAAGTTCAGATTTAAATGCAGATTTCAGCCTATGAATCAAGTGTGTTCATCAAACTCCTTAGCAAAAAATACAGTATGGACTTCTGACAATTGGAATGGAGGTCAGCCATGAACAACCAGTGGCAATACACGCTGGTCCTCTCAGAACACACTCCACTGGCCATCAGTGCCTGATTCTTCTGGAAAGCAACAGAAATCTAAATTGATAGGTAAAAGAATTGGCAGCCTTCATGAATATTGTCTAAGAACAGGAAACAAGTCTGTTTTGTGGCTCTGATAAATACAATTTTGGCTCAAGATTTTATTTTGAGGATATTGCAAGTTTTTATTTGGTCAATTGTGATTGCACTGAAAGATCTTGGTTAACATTATTACTTCTTTCCTAATAGTGGCTAGCATTCAGAAGCTTCCTGCAGCCTCCGTTCTAACCGACATCAACTTCCCAATGAAAGGACGAAAGGGAATGGTTGACTGGGCAAGAAACTCAGAAGATAGGGTAGTCATCCCAAAAAGCATTTTTACTCCTGTGTCATCAAAAGGTAATAATTTGAGCTTTGAACAAAACATTTCTAATAAGGCTGTTTAATAGTAGTTCACTACATATAAATCTGCTTGTGTCAAACAACTTAGTCTACAATCATGATTCTAAACTAATTTTGTAAATATAGAAAACTGACATTTGGTCTCTAAATCTGAATTTACTGGAGGAAAGGATCTATTAAAATGGGAAAAAAAATACAAGTGCAAATTCTGGACCTGAGCTTGGCCTGGTTAAGTTTCAGGATTGACAGTTTTATCTCAGTATAAAGCCTGTGGCATATTTTAATTTTAGGTATGGAAATGTGTTGCATTTTCCACAGTCATTTTTGACTTCTTCCTCACTTTTGCTTTGGTTTGTAGATATTATTTTGGTATATAAAAGCATATTTAAGAAAAAATTCAGTTTTGGGAACATCTTCAGCCGCCTCTAAAAATTAATGGCTACTTTTGACAGCGACATCGGAGTCTTCCTTTTTACCTTGGAGATTTTGACCTTCTAGCTTAGAGCTCCAAAAGAAAATTGTTTTCCTTTCCCCATATCATTGGGAATTGAAACTCCTTAGCTGCAACTACTGTAGCCTTCTGTCTCAGCCTGGTGAAGGAAGATTACTTCATATGACACAAAAACCCTGAAAACTCATCTTTTTGAGCTACCATTAATATGTATGGTGTGTGGGTTAATCTGTTCCATGCATGGTTAGGAAGGCATTTCTTCTACTCAGCTTTGCATCAGCAAGTACTGGAATCCCCCTGTAATGAGAAGATTAAAGTTTTAGAAGACAGTATTTTTCTTGTCGTTTCACTAATATTTTTAATTTCATTTTTTCTAGAGTTAGATGAATCATTGGTATTTGTTCTTGGAGCAGTCCTGTACAAAAACTTAGATCTAATTTTGCCCACTTTGAGGTAAGCTATGAAATAATAAGCTGTTATAATCTTTGTAAATTATTCCAAAAATGTGATTATAGCTCATGTTATGAAAATAGTCAAACAAGCTTTGTTAACACAAAAGGCTTTTTCTTAAATTACATAGAAAATACCCATTTAATGAACAGCTTATTAGCATATTATGCACTTCAAAACAACTAGAAAAACACTTTTGGTGTCTGATTATACCCCGGCAATTCTTTTGTAACTAATCATGACTTGCCTTAAGACTAAGGAAAAAAAAAATTAAGGAAAAGAAAAAACTCAAGTCTCTGTAGTAGAATGGGTTGTTTTAAAATTAATCTGTCTTCTCTCTTTATTTGCACTTAATGGTACTGTTCATCAACATTACATGAAATTAAAGGAGTGCTATGATGACTGGGACTGCATGTTTTGTTCATCATTTGCACAAGATCTCAATTTGCCTCTAAATAAATATTCAATTATAGCGACATTAAGAAAAAATGCTGTTGTTAAATTAGAAGACTATTTTTGGAAGAAATCCATTGATTTCTTTCCTCCCAGACATAAAAAGAAACAATTACACATAGTAATTCTATGAACATTTATTTGCTCTATTGTCTTAACTACTTTACCTGATCTCACAGAAAACATCCTTTACACCTACTTGGGTAGTGATGCTCTCACTCATGATGACCTGTTTCCTCCACCCCATCTCCTTCTGGATGACTGAGACCAAGTTTTTTTTGTTGTTTTTTGTTTTAGTTAAACACAGCCACATTTGCAGTGAGCTCTTACTCACACCCTTATGAATAAAACCTTAAGTTTTTAGGGAGGAAGGACTGTAAATGATGTATACAGTTATACCAGAAGCATAACAAATAGTCTCATAAATAAACACAATTAGAGTTCAGTCCGGCAGAAAAAAGGCCTTGCAAGGAAGCAACTAAGTTTTCTGCAGCGGCAGTGACTAGTCATGATTCTTTGGAGAAAATCTTTCCATGTGCAGCAAATTATTAATACAGTCAGTAAATCTCTAGCTGTAACCGAAGAGACAACTAATGGGAAGCTGAGTTTTCTTTAATTATCTTCTTCTCTGGATGGAATTTGGGCTTTCTGAATTTGAATCGGTCTGTGTTTGCTTTTGTTCTACCAACTTTTCCACTGGTTTTGTTAAAACACTTTGGTGTGCACAATTACAGATAAAATAGACTTATACTTACATTGCCTTTAACTTTGCATGTGGTGTTTATTTGATAAGAAATGTGCTCAAGTTCAGGATACCCAGATACTCAAAGTTAGATCCTTATTTCTGTAGGGGGTTCATTTGTATGAAGCTAATCTTTCAAGAACTCTAGACTAGACACTAACTTAAAATCAGAGGACTTGGGTTTTAATTTTAATTTCACATAACAAAAAATTTATAAACTTGTCCAGTCACTCAGAAATTGTCTGCCTTCAGTTCAGCTTTAAAATATAAGCACCAAATAAATAAATAAATAAGCACCTGGATGTGCAACATTCACCCTGTTTGCTGCTGAGAGACATAGTGAATGCAAACAAAATATTCAACATAAAATGCTTTAGATTGTGATACAGTTTTTCTCCTACCTGTCTAACAAAGTTGCATTATGATTAATCTTGTTTTGCATAATACCATAGAACTCATTCGTACACCATAAGCCAGGTTATTCCATGTTTCATAAATTTATAGTCAAGGGAATTGAAAATTTATTTAGGGTAGACTAATGGGTATGTTATGAATGATTTAATGGATAAAGCAGGAATTGTACAAACGGATTCAAATTTGCAGGCAAGTCATTGACTTTTTTATATGTATATTGTGGTGTTGAACTCAAAGGTTCTCTCCAACTTCAAAAATTCCTTGTCTTTATTGCAATAAAACTGGAGAATTGTGCAGTTCTGACATATTCTTTAGCTTAAAGTCCTTAACAACCTTTATATAAGAACTGTGAATACCCACTTATACTTTCTATGTACAAAGTAATTAGGTAAATGACTATAGGAAAACAATATTCGCATTTAGACTGGGAATAATGACAATGGAATGCTCAGGATGAAATATTTGTTTAAGTACTGTTTCAAAGGTGAAATATTAGCATTTACTTCTCATTTCCTTTTATTTTATACAGTAAAATAATGTAATGAAGCATCCTCAGGCTTGGTTTTTGTTTTTGTTTTTTTTTATTATTCTCCTTTTCAAAAAACTATTCCAGAAAGTTGAGTTAGTAATCATACCAATGATAGATCTGCTAAATAAGATAAGTCTTTGAAAGGACAAGGGTGATGTCTTTGTTTTAGTCACTGAACAAATATTTACTAAGCAGCAACCTGGCTAACCTTACTGTCTGAATTCTTTTAAATCTTTTCTACTGTCAAAACTCCAGAACAGTGCTTAATAAATAACAAAGGTCCAAGAAACGTTTACTGGAATAATTAATTGTCTTATCTGATAGAATATTCTACATAAGCCATTTTTAAAATAATAAGGTACATAGACATTTAGCATATATGCCATACAAATATGTTAGGAACAGAGGAATAAAATACATATTTCTTGTTGTTTTACTTATAAATTGGACTATGTGAATTGAACCCAGTAGGGAAGGGGATATCTTCCAATTCAACATGCAAAAATACACAGATTTGCTCTTTATGTTTAGTTATTTACCAAATTTTCATGACACATTTTCCTGAGTGATCATTTTACTAATTGTCTGTTGAAACTATTGGAGCCAAGTTTCCCATACACTGAATAATGTTAGGCTTGCTGTTAAGTTTCCAGAAATTTTATATTTTGATACAATCATTTTCAAAACAATACTTTGCATAATTTCTCTCATGGGGACTAGGAAGGAGAAATTGATGTAATGTTTTGAATAGATATGATTTAGAAATTTCCTTTCATACATAGGCAGAAATAACTTTGCATGTTGAGTCTTTTATTTAGAGATTTCTTTTCTTCTCTTGCCCTACTATGCATTCAGCTATTCTTCAAGCTGCAATTTTTATTTTGCCATTTGATTGTCTTCCTTTTTACAATTAAGTAAATTTAGATTGTCCCTTCAACTGAAGGAATATTCTCTACTTTTGTCCAAACTAAATATGTGCTGTTCTCAGCCTTCCACTTTTATCCCTCTTAGAATAATTTTTGATAGTCAAAAAGCATAAACCAGGATATTAGTGCTGCAAGGTCCTTTAAAGGTTAGTACCATCTAGAATTCTAATTTTTCACATGAGACACTGACTTCCTTATTAGTTCAGTGACCTACCCAAGATTATGTGTCCAGTAGGTCACTGAGTTCTAATCCAACTCAAGTCTTCTCGGCCAAAACCAGGACTCTTCCACTGTCTTGCTTCCTCTGTAATGCTAGTATCGATTCCTTTGAGCAGTACAAACTATGCACTTCGATGTTAGTGTGAATACGTATCGCTCTTATGCTGAAAATCTTCTAAGGTCAAGGAGGAGGTGACCATGCATGAGCAAACTCAAGGATACTTGAGGGTCAATGTGGTGGTCCCAACCCAGGCTATTGACATCAAGGCGTCAGGCTATCACTCTTCCCAGCCCCTCATGACCATTTTTGGGATGAAGGCTGGCCAGCAGAGGCTAGAGGGTCTTTTGAGACAGGCGAGGCCACCCACACACATCCCCCACTCAAGTCAAGAAACTAACAACCACTCACAGCCTGACAAGCTCCCAAACCACTGGTGAGGAGTTTTAACTTTTAGGAGGACAATTTGGCAATATCAAGAGGCTTTAAAAATGCATTGTCATTGATGCAAACACTTCTAGGAATTTATGGTACAGAAATTATCTCTAAGGAAAAAAAAAGTGTATCCAATCATACACTCAAGCTAGCATTTAAGAAACAGTTGTAAACAGTCTATTTTCTGATTCATTTAATAGATTCCAGTTTTATAGGAAATCACAATACTTTTGAGTATAGGAGCAATGTGTAGTTTCCCTGTAGGACATGTGGACGATGTAGTCCTGTTAAAAAAAAAAAGCATTTTAATGTAGCTATTAACATTCACGACACTGTAAAGGATCTAATTAAAATTATATGCAAATTCCACTATAGTATTAAAATGCCAGGAAAAATACAGATGAACAAAAAGCAACAATGTTCTCATAAGCCAGTAGTGGTTTGGAAATTATCTTTCAAAAAGGAAAAAAAATTTCAATAATGCAAAACCACATGAATTTGCTGTCAGGTACACCAACCTAATAAAGATAAATGACGTGGAATTTTTTTCATATTTAGCAAATGGAACTCATTTGAGTTTGTATATTATAGGAATTAAAAGCAAATGGGAAAAGTAATTGAACTAAATTATTTTGAAATAATCAAAAAATGGAAACATAATTACTTTTAAACCCATACATTCTGAAGGCAATCAACCTGAAATTGTTGAGTAGTCTTAAGAGCACCTGTTCTTCAGGTTCAGGACCTAAACTTTGGATCTTGCTTCTTCATTCTGAGTTTTCAATGACATATTGTAGTTTTTGTGATATCCGGTATCTTTTTATAATATCCTATTGTGAGGACACTAGAAATTAAAATTATCTATGGGAATAACAAATTTGCATGACTAATACTATGAAATATTATTATGCATTCAGTATATTACTTACAAAAATCTGAGTTTAATTTAGTCATACCTTTTGAATGTGAATTTAAATCCCTGAGGTTTCTGGAGGGGAGGAGGGAGGGGGGATGGGTTAGCCTGGTGATGGGTATTGAGGAGGGCACGTTCTGCATGGAGCACTGGGTGTTATGAACAAGCAATGAATCATGGAACACTACACCAAAACAAATTATGTAATATATGGTGATTAACATAACAATAAAAAATTAAAAAAAAAATCCCTGATCACTTAACTTCTTTGTAGTTCTAGGTGTTACATCCCTCAGTAAACCCACCTTGAAATCCTAATTAGTTTTAAAGCACTAAATTAGCCCAATCTTACTTTTTAACAGCCATCAGCTGAT